GTATTTAGCTCAGCTGGGGGGGGGGGTAGCATTAATTTTGATTTTTAAAATATTCAATTTAAATATTTCTATTTATTGCTGGGTATTTTGGTATCCCCTTAAATTTAGTGCCCAAGGCAATTGTCTCACCTATCTCACTCTGGGCCTGATCAGGGATTGGCACACTTTTATATAAAAAGCCAAGTAATTGGAACAGCCAGTGAGTGATGTTAAAGCAGCTGGGTCCTAAATGACTGACTATGGTTCGAGTCCTGAACCAGGTGGTTTGAAACACATACCGGATGATTGTGCATGTGTGCCCAAAATCCCAAGAGGAGAATGGAGGAAAAGGCACTGTAACATGACTATCTCCCCTGGGAGATGTTTTCTCACTTTCTCTCTAGCAAGTGCATATACCCTCTACCAAATTATAAATAAATAAATAAGTGGCCAGATAGTAAGTATTTTCCGCTTCACAGATCATAGAGTCTCTGTTGCAAGTATTCCCCTCTTCTCTTCTATATGTTACAAAAACAATATGTATATGAATGGGTCTGATAGTGGACCAGGTTTGGCCTGAAGACCTTAGTGTGCTGACCCTTATTTTAGGTCATGACATTGAGCATAGTGGTGTTTTTTTGTTTGTTTGTTTTGTTTTGTTTTGTTTTGTTTTGCTATAGGGCACGTGCACTCGCCAGACAGACAGAGACAGAGAGATAGAAAGTGAGAAATCACCCCCCGGGGGGGTGGTCACGCCACAATCCCTTCTCCTCCATTCTCCTCTCGGGGTCTTGGGCACACATGCACATGCGCCTGGCGTGAGTTTAAGCCACCGGGTCTGGGACGCGAACTGCGGTCGACTACGTGGGAGTCCAGCGACATAGCCATTACGCTAACTGCTGGTCCCAGTGTTTTATTTTTTAATTATTCATTTAGGGACCAGCAGGTGGCGTAGTGGTTAGGGTTCTGGACACTCCCACGTGTCCAACCACCGTTCAAGTCCTGGACCTGGTGGCTTGCTTTCTCACTTTCCTCCCCCCCCCCATGTCTTTCTCTGGTAAAATTTAAAAATCATAAATGAATAAACAAATACAATTAAATAAAACTTTTTTTTAGAGGTTTTTGCTATAGGGCTCGTGAGCTCGCCAGAAAAGCAAAGAGACAGAAAGCGAGAAATCACCCCATCCCACCCCCACCCCCAAGGGAAATGGCCACGCCGCAATCCCTTCTCCATTCTCCTCTTGGGATCTTGGGCACACATGCACACACGCCCGGCATGAATTTAAGCCACTGGGTCCAGACCTCGAACTGTCGTCGGCTACATGGGATCCCAACAACATAGCCTTGCACCAACTGCTGGTCCCAATAAAAGGTTTTTTTTGGGAGGGGAGAGATTTTTGCTATAGGGCGCGTGCGCTCGCCAGACAGAGACATAGAGACAGAAAGCGAGAAATCACCCCCCAGGGGGGATGGTCACGCCGCAATCCCTTCTCCTCTGTTCTCCTCTCGCACTCTCTCTCTCTCTCTCACTCTGTCTCTCTCTGCTCAAATCAAATAAAGTAAATAAAGTTAAATAAAATCATTCTTTTTTTAAAGAATTATTCATTTAATTTTACTGTTATTATGTTTTAATTTGACCAGAGAAAGTAGAAAGCAAGCCATCAGGTAGGTCCAGGACTTGAACCACAGTTGGCCATGGGGGAGTCCAGCGCCTTAACTACAATTCCACCTGCTGATCCTCAGCATAGTATTTCTAAAACAGTCATTCTCAGGGCCAGCAGGTGGAGTGGTGGTTAGGGATGGTGGACTCTCACTTGGCCGATCATGATTTGAGTCCCAGACCCAGAGGCTTGCTTTCTCACTTTCTCTCTCTGGGAATATTAAAATAATAATAATAATAATAAATCAAGTGAATAAAATAATTCTTAAAATCATTCTGAATGCATCCCAAAATTTTGTTTAAATAGGAAATGCATCCAGGGCTGGCAGGTGGACTGATGGTTAAGGCACTGGACTCCCAACATGGTCAGCCATGGTTTGAATCTTGGACCTAGCGGCTTGCTTTCTCACTCTTCCTCTCTGTCTCTGTCTCTCTCTGCTTAAATCGAAGAAAGATCATAAATAACAGTAATTTTTTAAAAGGGAATACATCCAACAATTTTGTTAAAATAGTACTACTATTTC